GGCCAATTCCACCTTCCCAGGATACCGGCCTGTGAAACAAAACAGTGCCTAAAAACCCAAGCAACAAAGCAACCTGTTTTCATTGCTGCAACAAAATGCCTGAGGCAGGGTCAGGTGTAAAGAGGTGTATTTTTAGCTCACTATTCTGGAAGGTCAGGGCAGGGCCCCGTGTCTCACCAGAGACCCGTTGACTGTGTGGCATCTTGGGTAGAACAGGTGGGAAGCACAGGGGCGGAGTCTGAAGAGGAGGAAGGTGTGGACTGGAGCGCACTGGGGAGAATCCTGACTCAGGCCTTTTAAGATCAGGCGGGCACTGATATAAATATAAAATGCAGTTATTTTTAGCTTTTCAGTTTATTGGACAGACACAGAAGTGACACAAAGAAACCATAAAGTTTATCTGGTTTGCAAAACATTTTCACTTGGGAAGACAGCCCCATACTTTCCCCCTAAAGAACAGGTAGTTGTATAAAGGTTCTAAGCAAACCTTAAAATTAGACATGAGAAAATACCTGATTTGACTTTTACTTATACAACTATCTGTGGGGCTGGGAAGGTGGCTCAGTGGTAGAGCACTTGCCTTGCATGCATGAGGCCCTGGGTTTGATTCCTCAGCACCACATATGCAAAAAGAAAAAAGCCAGAGGTGGCACTTTGGCTCAAGTGGTAGAGCGCTAGCCTTGAGCTGAAGAGCTGAGGGACAGCGCCCAGGCCCAGAGTTCAGGCTCCACAACCGGACCATCCCCCCCCCCAAAAAAAACCAACAACATACTATCTGTATACATGAATTTACATGTGCAGTTTTAGATACACCCATGAATGTGCACACACACACATGTATACCTTGCTTAACAGAAACTAAAGACATTGAAAAAGAACACTTAGCATTATTACAGATAATGTACTTTTCTGTTTGTTTTTTGTTTCATTTTTGTTGGTGGCAGGGCTAGAACTCTCGACACGGACACAGTCCCTTAGCCTTTTCTGCTCAAGAATCGCACTTTACTGCTTGAGCTATAGCTCTACTTCTGGCTTTTTGCGGGTTAAATTAGAGATAAGACTCACCTCGGATTTTCTTCTGGCTGGCTTCAAAGCTGGCTTCAAAGGAGGATCCTCAGTTCCTTTGACTCCTGAGTAGGTGGGGTTACAGATGTGGGCCGCTGGCGCCTGTCTAGAATGGGCATCTAAGAACCCAGTTTACTCATTTATTGTGTAAAGATCGGTGGAGAATCAGATACAGGACACAGCACTTCCTGTGGCACCCCTTCCCTCTTAGGGCAATAGGATTTGCCAGCAGGTGGGGTGCACATAAATGACTCAAGGTCAAAGTTGGTGAAGAGACTGGAGGGGCCATGCCAGCACAGATGATGGATCATGGAGGCAAGAACCCTAGGAAAGTCTGGCCTGTGGGAGGGACACAAGGGAAGAGTGGAAGACTCTGGAAGGCTCTAGAAGGTTCTGAAGGCTCTTCTCTCAGCACCTGTTAGGGTAGGGTGGGGACTAGTGGTCTTGAGACTAGAGGGCTTGTGGCTTTGTACTCAGAGATGAGTACTTCCGCCAGCTCACACAGATTAGGATCCTGCTAGGTTAATTTACAACTTCTGCACTGCACTTTTCCTGCAGCCAGCCCAGGCCACGTGTGAGCTTGAGAGCTTGTCTCAGACCCAACACTAAAGAAAAAAAAAAAAGAACCAAATGTGGTGGTTCATACCTGTAATCCTAACTACTCAACAGGTGAAGATCTGAGGATTGTGTTGTGAAGTCAGCCAGGGCAGGAAAGTCCATGAGACTTGGATCTCAAAGCTGGAAGTCGAGCTGTGGCTCAAATAGCAGAATGCCAGCTTTGAGCATCAAAAGCTAAGGGACAGGCCTGGGAAGATGGCTCAGTGGTAGAGCGCTTGCCTTGCATGCTCGAAGCCCTGGGTTCGATTCCTCAGCACCACATAAGCAAAAAGAAAAAAAAGCCGGAAGTGGCCCTGTGGCTCAAGTGGTAGAGTACTAGCCTTGAGCTGAAGAGCTGAGGGACAGCACCCAGGCCCAGAGTTCAGGCCCCACGACCGGACCAAAAAAAAAAAAAACAGCTAAGGGAAAGCCTCAGGCCCTGAATTTAAGTCCCAATACCAGCCCCAGAAACAAACAAACTCCTCAAAGGAACAGGTTTTGGTGGAGATATGGAAAGACTGAAACCCTTGTGCTATATTGTAACACTGTGGAAAACAGTATAGCAGCTCCTTAAATCATTACAAGTAGGAATGCCATATGGTCTCAAAGCTGGCTCTACCACTTGAGCCATGCCCTCCACTTCCAGCTTTTTGCTGGTTAATTGGAAGTCAGATCCTCTTGAATTTGTCTGCCTGGGCTGGCTTTGAACCATGATCCTCAGCTCTCAGCCTCCTGAGTAGCTAGGATTACAGGCATTAGTCACTGGTGCTCATCTTCAACGAGATTTTATATATGGCCTTATGAACATTATTCCCAGCAGCCAAAGAGCAGAAGCAACTCAATTGTCTACCCACAAGTGAATAGAGAAACATTGTGGTCAACACAAACAATAGAAAAGCACACAGCTTTGAATAGGAAGGACTTTCTAACACAAGGCACTCTATGGATGAGTCATACAGACCTTAGGCTGAGTGAAAAAACACCAGCCACAAAACCATGAACACTTTCCACTTACATAAGGTAACAAGAGGAAGTAAGGTTTGGGCCTAGGGTATGGAGAAACAGTGGTTTATTGAATGTAGACTGTTTTACATAACAAAAGTCGTTGCAGATATTGTTTGCTCACAGGTGTGTGAATGTGCTAAGCCTCTTTAACCTATTTAAACCTAGTTAAACTATTTAAAATCATTTAGATAGGAATTTTGTCTGATTATATTTGTCTGCAATTTTTTTTTCTGGGAGGTGTCCAGTCGTGGGGCCTGATCTCTGGGCCTGGATGCTGTCCTTCAGCTCTTCAGCTCAAGGCTAGCGCTCTATCACTTGAGCCTCAGCACCACTTCCGGTGTTTTTCTTTTTTTGCTCATGTGGTGCTGAGGAATTGAACCCAGGGCCCCATGCATGCAAGGCAAGCGCTCTACCACTCAGCCACCTTCCCAGCTCAGATTGGCTGCAATTTTTAAAGTGTATTGACATGAGACAGAGACATCCACATATGTGGTCAGCTAGTAGAATTATATATGATAATATACTGTAAATGCAATCTAATTTGTGATACTGGTGACTGAATACTGATACTCAGGGCCTGGTATTCTAGCAATTAGGCTGTGCCCCTGTCATTTTGGTTGTTAGTATTTATATATTTGTATATTGGTTGGTTGGTTGAAAGTTTTAGAACAGGGAAAATGATCCAAGTTCTGTGTTAGTTTGAAGGCTGAGGGTGGGGGGAGGGAAGGAGCGTGAGATGGAAGTGAGAGGAGGCCTAGAAGACACTAACACCAGCTCTGTGTTTCCTCCACAAATCAAGCCTAACCTAGCCAGAGCCGTTCCACTGCCCCATCAACCAGCTGCCCTGCAAGACTTGAAGCAGAGACCCATGGAAGAATGTCCACCAGGTACCTCCTAAGATTGACCCGCTAGTCTTCTACACTACCCTGGCTCCATGTTCTTCCAGTCTCTGTTCCCTGCAATTCTTAGTTCTTTATCCAACAAGTAGTTATTGACCTGTTGTAAAATCCAGGGTTATGAAGACTTACCTCCATTTTTACTGCTAAGATTCATCTATTTTGATCTATCTAAGGGTCTAGAGATTTTTTTTAAAATATGTTAATTATTATTGGGTCTGGGAAGGTGGCTCAGTGGTAGAATGCTTGCCTCACATGTTTGCATGCATGAGGCCCTGCGTTCCATACCTCAGCAGTATATAAGCAGAAAAAGCCAGAAGTGCACTGTGACTCAAGTGGTAGAGCAATAGCCTTGAGCTGAAGAGCTGAGGGACAGCGCCCAGGTCCAGAGTTCAGGCCCACAACCAACAAAAATTAAAAATTTATTATTGTGTGTGTGTGTGTATGTGTGTGTGCATTTGTGCATATGCTGGGGCCTGGACACTTTCCTTGGGCTTTTTTTGTTCAAGGCTAGCACTCTACCACTTTGAACTACAGCACCATTTCTAGTTTTGTGGTGGTTAATTGGAGATAAGAGTCTCACAGACTTTCCTGTCTGGGCTGGTTTCAAACTGTGATCCTCAGATCTCAGCCTCCTGAGTAGCTAGGATTACAAGCGTGAGCCACAAGTTTCTGGTCAGTGCATATACTCTTTCAAAGACATACCCAAGAGATCACTTGAGAAGGGTTTTTGGTTCCTGAATGAAGTAGTCCATCCTGTCTGCTAGCTTTGCCACTTACTCAAAACATCAGCAGACAGCAAATTCTGATCATTATCAAAGGCTAGCTTGTTCCTTTCCAGGAATTGACAAGCTCAGGAGACATTTCACTCTTGTAATCCATAATTCAAGTTGTTTCATGAATCTTATAATATGCTTCATTTAGTAATTCATTCCAAGGCAAAGAAAACCACAAAAAACCCACTCTCCAAACCAAAAAAAATTACTACCACCATCCTAAGATTATTCTCTCTTCAGAGTGTAAAATTATAATCAGAGTTCTACAGGATCAAACAATTCTTGTTTGGGAGGAAGAGGGGAGCGGTCATAGGGCTTGAACTCAGGGCCTGGGTGCAGTCCCTGAGCTTTTTTTTTCTGCTCAAAGCTAGCACCCTACCATTTGAGCAAGCCAGGCTCAACGTCCAGCTTTTTGCTGTTTAATTGGAGATAAGGGTCTCATGGACTTTCATGTTCAGCCAGGTTTTCAACCTAGTTCCTATTTTCCTGAGGAGCTAGGATTACAGTGTGAGCCACTGGTACCCACCCACCTACTTGATCTTTTTTAGCAAGAAGTTGCTGCATAGTCACAGTGACTAATTTTATAGGCATGAGCCCCTGGCACTGGAAAGAACAGAGTTTTTTTCAAAATAGCATGTTCCAGGACTTTAATACAATTGTAGCTATGACGGATGGCCTTCCTCAATGGGGTGAGGCACCGGATGGGTTAATTACAGTCACTTAAATCTCCATCCTCCCCACATGAGATCCCAGATGTCTGTATAGAGTTTCATAGAATTGTGCACCCTTTCGTTTCTGTGATTCAGTAGGAATGGCCTTCCTCTTATTTTGGATTCTAATAATGTGTATCTTTCAAAACCTTCCCCTGGAGCCCTGTGCTGATGGCTCACACCTGTAATCTTAGCTACTTAGGAGGCTGAGATCTGAGGATCGCTGTTCAAAGCCAGCCCAGGCAGAAAAGTCCCCATGAGACTCTCATCTAAAATTAACCACTCAAAAACCAGAAGTGGCGCTGTGGCTCAAGTGGTAGAGTGCTATCCTAAAGTAAAAAGCTCAAGGACAGCACCCAGGCCCTGAGTTCAAGGCCTACAATTAATCAAAAAGAAAACCTTTCCCTGCTCCATTGGCTGGTATAAGTGTGTTGGTCTGGTCAGAGAACTAACTTTTGGTCTCATTAATTTTCTTGGTGGATTTTCTGGTCTCTATTTTGTTCACTTCTGCTCTGACCTAGGTTATTTCCTTCCCTTGGCCTGCTTCACCTTAAGCATTGGCTTCCTTTTTCAGTGTGTTACATTAATTCTAGGTTGCCAATATTATGAGTATATTATATTTTGAAAACAGTATTTAAAAAAACCTTCAGTGTTTTATATTGGCTTTAGGTTGAAAGGGTAACATTTGGGAGATTTGAGGCCAAAAAATACATTGTGAAGGGAACTTGCCTTTTTTTTTTCTATGTTGATACAGACGCTAAGAATTTGAACCTCACGTGTCCCTTCCCTTATTTTCTGGTCAGCAGTGCTTTCATAAGGTGTATAGTAGATGCAGAAGCAATAATCCACTCACCTACTGCTTTTTCTCCTGCATTTCAGGCTTCTATTTATCAGGGAAGGTTTGCTTGTCGTGTAAAGCTGGCGAGGACTACACCAGTCACAATAATTCCCTCGATAGATGCAGGAGCTGCTTAGTCTGTAAAGGAGGTAAGAGCCAGAGGCCCCGGGGCATGGTGGAGTGGGATGTTGGAGTGGGAATTTCAACTGATGTGTTCCCAGACACCTGGCTTCCAGCTTACCACAGGGCAGGCAGGCAGCACTCCAGGAGGGCCAGCTGTGTCAGGACACAGAGGCCGCCGTGGGCTACTGTGGAGAGAGGCCATCCAACATGGCTGAGGCAGGCTGCAGTGGAAGAGGAGAGCTCAACAGACCAAGGCATTCAGAAGCGCTGCCCACTGAACTCAGTTATGGATCTGCCCTGAGTCTCCTGTACCCTGCCAGGGATTTTGGATACATTGGCAGATTACAAGTCACCTCCAACATTGGTCTTCTTTGCATTTGACCAGAATCCATTTGGAAACAGAGGGGGAGGATAGAGGGATATGGAAGAAGAGACCCTCATTGGGTCAGACTCTTGCTTGGTGCTGGTAGCTCAAACCTGTAATCCTAGTTACTCATTAGGCTAAGATCTGAGGATTGTGGTTTGAAGCCAGTCTAAGCAGGGAAGTCTATGGGAGTCTTAACTTGAATTGCAAAGAGCCGAAGTGGCACTGTGGCTCTAGTGGTTGAGTGTTAGCCTTGAGTTAAGCCCAAGGAGTACTGGGAATGTGGCTTAGTGGGTAGAGTGCTTGCCTAACATGGATGAAGCCTGGATTCACTTTCTCAGTAGCAAGTAAACAGAACAAGCCAGAAGTGGCACTGTGTCTCAAGTGGGAGAGTCCTAGCCTTGAGCAAAAGCTCAGGGAAAGTGTGCAGGCCCTGAGTTCAAGGCCCAGGACTGGCCAAAAAACAAAGCCTAGGGACATGGGTTGGAGCAGTCATAGTTTAGTTGATAGAGTACTAGCCAATGAGCGAAAGCAAATGCAGCAACAGCAACAAAAACAGAAAAAAAGACTCTCCCTAACCTCAGGCCTCTCTTTCCAAAAACCTTCCATAGAAACTCCCATCTTAGGACTACACATGTATATCTGTTGGAGTGGAAAGGGCTGGGTCTCATAGCTGTCCCTGAGCCAGGTTGTCTTCAGTCTCTGGCAGGTGCAAGGCTCCTTCATATCCTAAGGTCTATCTCTCCCTGATCTCCAGCAGTGCTAGGCTGTAGAGAGATCACCTGAGGGCATTTCTCTTTCCTGGATCTCTGAGATGATTTGTGTTAGACCTTGTGGTCGGTCTGAAAGACTTCCTACAAGAGGCAACACAGTAAACAATAATCATATTGCTTTTGTGTAGCCCTGCATACTGGTGATAGCAGAGAGGGACTGTCCTTTGTGTACCCTCTATGTGTGAGTTGCTGCAGAAAGTGGCCCTAAGAATTACTTCCTATGGGGCTGGGAAGGTGGCTCAGTGGTAGAGCGCTTGCCTTGTATGCATGAGGCCCTGGGTTCAATTCCTCAGCCTCACATAAGCAAAAAGAAAAAAGCTGGAAGTGGTGCTGTGGCTCAAGTGGTAGAGCGCTAGCCTTGAGATGAAGAGCTGAGGGACAGCGCCCAGGACCAGAGTTCAGGCCCCAAGACCGGACCCCCCCACCCAAAAAAAAGAAAAGAATTATTTCCTGTGTTCAGCTGAGCTGAATGGGAGATGGTGGGTGTATGCCTTCAGGAAGGGCATCGAGGCAACCAGAGAAGCTCATCCTTCATACTTTTGCCCTGTCTGCAGATCAAGTACAGAAGAGTCCTTGCACCACAACCTCTAATACAGTGTGCGAATGCAAACCTGGCACTTTCTGGACACAAAACACCCCTGAATTCTGCCAGACATGTCGAGATAAGTAAGATGAAGGAGCTGGGGCTCTTATAATCCTGGAGTTCAATAACACCCACATCTCCTTATACCCCTTTCCCTGACCCCCTGGAGTTCTTCTGAGCCTGGATCCCGCCACCTGCCATTTCCCTTTTGACCAAGTGACTTGTTCCTTAGCAACAGGAGGCTAGGACTTAAGGCCCCCTAAACTTTGGATGAGCCCTAAGACACCGTTTAATTGCCTTCAAAAAGAATGAGTAGAGCTAGGTACCACCTGTCATCCTAGCTATTCAGGGGGCTGAGATCTGAGGATTGTGATTTGAAGCCAGCCAGAGCAGAAAAGTCCATAACATTCTTTTTTTAATTTTTTTTTTTTGTCGTTTGTGGGGCTTGAACTCTGGGCCTGGGCGCTGTCCCTCAGCTCTTCAGTTCAAGGTGAGCGCTCTACCACTTGAACTACAGCGCCACTTCCGGTTTTTTGGTGGTTTATTGGAGATCGTAGTCTCACGGTCTGTCCTGCCTGGGCTGGCTTTGAACTGCAATTCTCAGATCTCAGCCTCCTGTGTAGCTAGGATTACAGGTGTGAGCCACCAGCGCCAGGCTTCCATAACATTCTTATCTTCAGTTAATCACCCAAAAGTTGTGGCTCCAGTGGCAGAATGCTAGCCTTGAGCAAAAACAGCTAAGGCCCAGGCCCTGAGTTCAAACCCTAGTACTGGCATAGGCATGCGTACACACAGAATGAAAAGAATACTGCTGGTGTTCTGTTCATATGTACACCAATTCCATTGGAATATGTGATTTTTAACCCTTCCTTGTATATACAGAGGACTATGAAGATAGCTATGATAAAAGTCATAATAAGGCTTTGTGTTCACATCCCTCAAGGTTTTCAGAAGAACCTGATCCATTGAGGCAGCCTCACTCCAGGCTCCCGATCCCTTAAGATATATCTTGGTCCTGCTTTTGACATTAGGGGCCAAATGTCAATTACTTTTTTGACCCTTTGGTGTTTGTGTGATTAGTAGAAAGATGAGCTGTACTACAAGTTGGCTAGGGCCATGTACCAGTGGCTCATGCCTGTAATCCTGGCTACTCAGGAGGCTGAAATCTGAGGGTTGCTGTTTGAAGCCAGCCCCAGGCAGGAAAGTCCATTAACTCTAATGTCCAATTAACTACCAAAAGAGCCAGAAGTGGAGCTGTGGCTCATGAGGTAAAGTGATAGCCTTGAGCAGTAAAGCTCAAGGACTATGGTCAGTCCCTGAGTTCAAGTCCCAGGACTAGCATGCACACACACAAGACTGAGGCAGGGGCTGTATCTCAATGGTGGTCAAAAGTGCCTGTGATCTCCCCCTGGAGTGAGACACCTCTTATCTCAGGGTCTGCTGCAGAGAAGGACTGAAAGCTGAGGAACCCATGGACCCAGAGCCCCGAGGGATTCAGGCCCTCCTTTCTCAGTCTTCAGGGTGGGGGGCACCCTGCAGACATGAGGAGTCTGCCCCTCCTCTATGGACATTGGGCAGGCAGAGTGACTTTCTCTTCTGTCCCGCCTGGCTGGTCTTTGCTCATGGAATCCCACCATTTCCTCCCTGTGTGTACCCAGGTGCACCGAAGAGGAGGATGAGGAGATCCCCTGTACCCCCTTGAGTGACCGCAAGTGTGTCCCCAAGGCCACCGGGGGCACCAGAGCTCTTAAAATAGTTGGGATCATATCTATCATATTCACAATAGTTATGATAATAATTGGGATTGTCGTTTGGAAGAGAAAAGAAATATCTGATTATATTAAGCGCTTCTGGCCAGGTAAGTGTTGCTCCCAGATTTCTTGCCACCCTTCCCTCCCCGCCTCCCATGCCATCCTGCTCCATGTCTCCCCTATAAGTCCCCTCCCTTTTGTTTCAAACCCATGTCCTCTCAGCCTGACTCTCTCCTATTCTCTGTGATTGGCACACAGTCACTACCCAAAAAACACTAGACCCGAATCTCACCAGACCCTGCTCAACCAGGTCTTGGAGGGAAGATCCCCAGCTAGCTCAGAGAAGTGGTCAGCTTATAAGGCAGCATTGCTCAAACTAGAGATTGGGCATGTTTGTTTGTTCATCAGTCTGGGAGCTTGAACTTAGGGCCTAGGTGCTGTCCCTGAGCTTTTTTTTACTCAAAGCTAGCACTCTACCACCTGGAGCCATAGCTTTACTCCCAGTTTTCTGGTGGATAATTGGAAGTAAGACTCTCACGGTTCTTGCCCAGGCTGACTTTGAACCTTAATCCTCAGATCTCAGCCTCCTGTGTAGCTAGGATTGTAGGTGTAAGCCACCAGTGCCCAACTTTGATTTATTGCCAGTACTGGGCCTTAAACTCAGGGCCTCCTATTCTCCATCAGTTTTTTTGCTCAAGGCTAGCTCTCTACCACTTGAGCCACACCTCCCCTTTTTGCCTTTTGGGTGGCTAATTGG